TCTGGCAAAAAGGTGCAGGAAATTAAATTTATCAATTAATTGGATTTGAAGCCACGAAATGGGCAAATAAGGATGGACATTACTATTCACTGCCCCCCTTATTATTATTTACCAGGCCCCCCTTGGACATTTTTGCTCCTGGCATTTTTTTTCAAAAAGTAAAAAAAAAAAAAAATAATTGTTGTTCGACCGCCGAAACCGGACGGCCCAAATGGCGTCCGGCCCCGACGGCCGGTGGTGACCGGTCCGACCGGGCGGACACCATTTTTTTTAAATAATATTATTATAAATTATTATGTTATATATTCAAAATATTTTTTAATACAACTAATTTTTTAACCATTTAAATAGTGATTAATTAATTTTTTTAATACAACTAATTATTAATATATATATTTATTAATANATTTTAAATTTAAATAATTATAATTTATAATTTCTCATTATAATTAAATTATAAGTATTATTATAATTTATAATTTATAATTTTTCATTATAATTTTTTCATTTTAATAGATGTAATTTTAATGAGTTGATAAAACTAAATAAAGATGTGATTGTGATGAGTTGGGTCGCATGATCCCGGAAAAGTAGCAGCGGAAGCAAATATAATGGAGGAGAAAAAAAGTAGAAATAAAATATAATTAATTTTATAATCTGAATTTGGTTATTAGATTTTTAAATTCAAACATTTAAAGGAAAAAATAACAAGCAGATTTTTTGGGTAAATTTTATTTTATCTTGATTCTCATATAATCACATTTCTAACAAACTAATTAATATTATATTTTTTATCTACATTTTCTAACTAAATTGTTTATGATATAACTAATATAATATCTTAACAAATTAATCATTTATCTACCGGAATTATCTCTCTAACAAACTTGCCACTTTTTTTGAAATTAAAATGATATGACTAAATTTTTTATGATATAACTAATATAAATATTATTGATTTATCTCTTTAATAACTGTTTATTATTTATTTTAATCCTTACGTGATATAATCTAAATTTGGTTATTAGATTTTTAAATCTATACTTATATTAAAGGGGGTACTATTTACCAAATTAAGTAGCCAGAAAAGTCAACAGCATTTATTGCATTACTATTTCCGTATTATATTATATAAAAGGATATTCTATTTACTACATTTATTATCCCGAAAAGTCAACTGCATTAAATGTCATTACTATTTTGGTATTATAATATTTTGTTTATTTAATTGATTTATTTATTTCTTTTATTTTAAAAAGGTAAGTATAATAAAAAAAATTTAATAATAAAAAAATTAAATACCAAATAAAAATGTACACTTTGACTTATTTGATTATATTTGGTACTCCCTCCATTTAGAAATATAAGGGATTTAAGGTTATTGCACAAATATTAAGGAGACATTAATTAATAAATAAATTGACTAAATTAACCTTATTTACTCTAATCACAACCACTCCACACTTTCTTAATTTCAACACAATGGGGGTATATTTGGAAAAAAATGCAAAAATTTGTCTTGATTTTTTAGCGCGCCTTATATTTCAAAAAAAATGAGAAATCTTTATACGCCTTATATTTCAAAATGGAGGGAGTATTTGATTATACCAAATATATTCCTATTTAGTATATACATTAAATATTTACTAAAGTATTTATTTGTTTTATTTGTCAAAGTTAAGTATAGATTTGTTTATATTATCAAATCATAAAAAATATTAAATCCATATTGTAAAAAAAAAAATTCATATAATTTTATAACAATTCTACTACACTATTTAACAATATTCATTTTTTATTATATAATAAAATAATAATTAAATATTATATGGTGAACAACAATAAGTAAAACTGTTACTTTCTCTTATATCAAGGGATAAATTTATATGCTAAAATTAAATTTTTATTAATATAAATGTTTTAGTGAGATAATATATTAATTATTTTACAAGCTAGCCCTAACATGCTCATATTTAATGTTTTAAAAGATGTAGAAAAAAAACTTATAATAACTCTATTGTTTTTTAGACTTAAACGTTGATTAAAAGAGGTAAAAATTCCTAATTTTTTAGACTTAAACGTTGATTAACACCATAGATTGAGAGTTTATATTTAGTAAAATTCCTAATTGTAATAAAAAAATTAATTTTTGCTATATTTTAGAATATCTTTAAATTCATTATAAAAAAAAAAAAAAAAAAAACTACAATGAAAAAAGCAAGTCAGCTATATATCGATTTGTTGTACTCCTCAAATCACATTCACAATTTGGCTACAAGGAAAGGAAACTCATTGATTAAATATTATTTTGTCAGTAGTCTTAATGTACAAGAGACTTTAAGACTCCACTTGAATATTATAAAATTTTTATTGAACATCGTACAATTTCTTGCGTATTATAAACTTTTATTGAATATTGCATCTTATAATATAATATTCTCCAAATAAATATATCTCGCGGGTCACGTACTATATATATCCCGTACATTTTTCTTTATTCATGTATATAATTATAAGTCTGGATAAATAGCCTTAAAATTGTGCACCCCGTGCATCGTACGGGCTCTGTACTAGTTCTAACATTTAAAGGAAAAGACCACAAGTAGATTTTTTGGGCACATTTTATTTTATCTTAACTTCCATATAATCACATTCCTAACAAACTAATTAATACAATTACAATTATTTAACTAGAATTTTGAAAATATAATTGTTATAATATTTTAACTAATTAAACTTTTGTCTAACCGAATTTATCTAATTAATAAACTTGCCAAAAATTTTGAAATTAAAATAGTAAAATTATTCTTACAGGTATACTTACCAGAATATTAAACACTTTAAAAATTTTTTGAAAATAATTTTAATTATTCCGTCTTCTACTCTATTTGAAATTCAAAATTAAAATTTTAAACATATTCATAAACAAGCTAATTAGTATAATATATTTTTACCCACATTTATATAATCGTATTTCTTAAAATATAGTTATTTTAATATTTTAACTATTTAATCATTTGTATAACTTGATTTAACACATTAATCATTTCTTTACTCACGAACGTATGCTCACACGCTTCGGGACAAGCTCGTTCTCCTGAGTCGGCCCGTCAGACTCTCAGGAAAATGAGCCTGTCTCGAAGCGTAGGTGTAACACCCCGCCTTTTCTAACTTTTACTTACGAAAAACTGAGTAAAATTTTCGCGTTTGTATTCGAAAGATGTCGATACTGTTTTCGAAAAATACCTATACTTAACTAACTCACGGGATGTTACTTACTTAATAACATTCAACATAAACATAAACATAATACAGTACGGAAGCGTAAATAAAATACAGTACATTCTGAAAATTATATTATTATATGCCAACATAAACATAAACATAATTGAATGTCCAGCTGTCTTCGGACACCACCACACCACCGCTCGGCTCACGCTCCGACTGGACTCCGTCACCTGAGAAAAACATAATGGGAGTGTGAGCAAAACCACTGGATTCCGGCTCACGTTTATTTAGTGGATTTATTCAACTTATTATTATTATAATTTATAAGTATTATTATAATTATTACAATTAATTATAATTATATTAGAAATTATTATTATAATTATTATAATTAATTCTAATTAATTCTAATTTATAATTATTATTATTATAATTAGTATAATTAATTTTAATTATTATGAGAAATTATTATTTTAATTATTATAATTATAATTTTGATTTATAATTATTATTATAACAATTATTATTATTATAATTATTTATAATTTATAATATTAATTATTATGATTAATTATAAATTATAAAAAAATAATAATTATTATTATAAAAAAGTAAA